GGCTCGTCCCCTGCCCTTCTCTTGGGGAGCCCCGGAGCTGGAGCGGGGCCCCGGTCGGCAGCGAGAGGCCACGTGGGGGTGAGGTGGGAGGGGCGGGGTCGGGCCGCGGCCGCTTTGGGGCTCTGAGCCCCGAGGACCCGCGGTCAGGGTGGGGGCGCGCTGCCCCGCACCTTCCAGGCCCCTTCCCCTCCGTGGGGAGCGCCGGCTCTGCTCCTGCCCCGCGGTTACACGTGGAGGGGTGCTGGAGGGGTGCTGCTGGTCGGGACGGCGTGCGCTCTTGAGGGTTGTCTGCTTGCTTGTAAGCTGTCTTTACTGACAGATTAAAAACTCGCGTGGTGTGCCCTCGTGTCGCCAGGTGTCTGCGCTGCAGCATCAGGGGTTCTGGTGCTCACCAGTTCAGCTACTTGCCCCTTTTTTGGTTTTCCTGAATCTCCAGGACTAGGTCAGGCCCCTTGGCCGCCCTAGGGTTCCAACACCTCACTTTCTTCGGTGTCCCAGACAGGGCCCTGTCCCTTGGTGTCATGTTTTCTTAGTTGGTTCTCGAGTGAATGTCTGTAATGCTAGACTTACCGCAAGCCTTGTGACAAATGATGTGGTGGCAATGCCTGCAGAAATTCTTTAAGTAGGAGAGAAAGACTGGAGTTTAAGTAGGAAGCTTGAACTTTAAATCATGTTGCCACTATTACTGAAATTAGTCTTTATATGCAGGGCTCTGTTCCAGGGGAGCAGGATTTTTGGGTGATGAGTCTTCTGTTTGTGAGTTGACTGAACTTCCTGGCCAGATGACATCATTAGAGTGCCTGTCACTGCGCCTGGCCTGGGAGCCTGCTGTCCACCTGTGATTTGGTGATACATCCATTCTTTTTGCTAAAGAAAAGCCAGGTGCCATGAATGATTGATTATGGTCTAAGTAGGCAGTTATTTTAAATGTCTCAAAGCAGAAAAACCAAGCCGTGGGACACCTGGAGACATCATGAGCTGTTTCTGTCCCACACACTCTCCCCAAAGTTGAAACCACACTCCCACTGACTGAGCGTTGTTTCCTGAATGGAGGCCGTGCGGTTTCTCTAACCCTGTACTGCGTCTAGTATTTTTTCCCAGCAGACAACTTTGGGATGGACTTTCTTAACTGAAGACATAGGGCACATTTTTTCTCCTTAGGATATATTCCTAGAAATGAGATTCCTGGTTTAAGAAAACGCGTGTGCCTTTAATGGTCGTAACAAACACACCCAGATTTGGCCTTCCACATGGTGCCCCAGTTTCTACTCCTGGCCATGAGCGAGCGCGCCCGTTTACCTGCCGCAGCCAGCACTGGTCCTCGTCATTCATTGCTGTTCACTAATTTGCTGGATTGAAACTGATCGATACATCATATTAATCTACTTTTCTCCAGTTCCCTTGGAAAGGTCTAGGGGAATAGTTCTTATTTCCTTTGGCATCTCTCGAATGAAGAAATACGTAATGACAAGAAGCTGTTATCAATTTAGTAATGCTTTAAAATACATTAATTTTTGATTAACCACAGCAATATTCATTAAGTAAAAAATATTGTTAAAAGAGCCTAGTGGGAGACAGTCCTCCGTCCTCATACGCCATGTGTGTGAGGCCTCACCGCAGATCCTTCGCACTGCGGGATCCTCGGGACACCGGCGGAGACTCCTGGGAGATGGTGTTGTTTGACAGAGAAGCCGTGGATGTTCTTTTCATGTGAAGCTTAGGTGTCAGAAACCTTTGTTGACTGAATTTTATCTTTGGATGTGTGATAACAGATCAATATATAACTTTCAAGAATAGTTAATCACTTAGGAAATGCTTTCAATCATTTAAAATGTGCCATATTGTTTCACTTATATGTGCAATGTAAGAAAACAAATGAACAGAACAGAAACAGACCATGAAAACAGAGACCCAAGGGATGGTGACCAGCTGGGAGGGGTGGGGGATAGGTAAAGAAGGGGAGGGGATAGAGTCAGTAATACTGTGATCAGTTTGCATGGGGACGGGCGATTACTGGAGTTCGTGAGTGATCACACTATAAGGTATAAAAATGTTGAATCGTGATATTGTACACCTGAAACTAATATAATATTGTATACCAACTACACTTAAATAAAAAAATTAAAAAACATATAGTTTAAAAAATTGTATATCGTATTGAGTAACGTACCCCATCCCCCAAATGCTGTCCACCCAGAGCCTCAGGATGTGACTTTATGTGATACAAGGGTCTTTGCAGATATAATTAGTTAAGATGAGGTCAGGCTGGATTAGGATGGGTCCTAAATCACATACGAATGATGTCATTATAAGAGGTCAGGCACACGCACGAACACACACACCCATGGAAGATGGCCATGTACAGGTGGAGCAGAATTGGAGTAATGCTGCCACAACCCAAGGGAACCACCAGGAGCTGGAAGAGGCCAGGAAGTTTCTTCGCTAGAGCCTTTGGAGGGAGCACGGCCCTCCCAGCGCCTTGACTTTGCACTTTCGGCCTCTAGGCTTGGGAGACAATACATTTCTGTTGTTGGAAGCCACCTAGTTTGAGGTCCTTTGTTAAGGCAGCCCTAGGAGACTAATACAACCGGAAACCATACTTTCCCTCTGACGGTTGTGTTACAGCCAGGGCAGTGGAGCTGAAACTTTTCTGCCATGGAAATCTTTGCTTAAACAAAATTTTCAACAGAAGCTTAAAAATGTATGGCACAGGTGGAATTCTCTGATTCCGGTGGAGCGAGCACTGCTGAGCTCTCAGACTAGCACCTTCCTGCCTCCGCCCCTCTGCTTGCTGCTCTGCAGAGCACAGGTGGAGACCCGCTGCACAGCCTGACCGCGTCCAACGTCCCCTGCGCACTGGGTAGAGGGTCAGACAGGACAGAGGCACACGGAGCGCCTTTCCTGGAGCTGGACCCGAGACGCACAGGGTGGTCAGCGTTCGTACCTTGGCGAACTTGCTACCGTCCAGGACCCGGGAAGGTTTCTGGTACCCCACCTCTCTTGAGTTGGGATGCCAGCATGCAGACCATGGCTAATGTTTGTGGAGGGCTTGCCAGGTGCCGCTCGGAAGCACGTGGGCAAGGTCAGGCAGTCTGAGTCCTTGCTGACCTGTGGATGTCTCATGCTGTCCCCGCAGTGGGCAGCAGGCTAGGCCGAGTCCCAGGGCCATGCCCTTTGGTGCCTCTTCAGTGCTACTGGTGCTGGGCCAAGGCCACGTTCTGTTCTCATCTGTCCACGTGGATTTCACTCTTCAGCTTCCAAGAGACACTGTCGCCCTTCCTGCCTAGTTCTTGAGACCTCTCATTTTGCCCCCAGTTATTGCCCTTGTCCTGTTTGAGTGACAGTCCAAGTACATGCAGGCAGCCAGCTTGGTGGGCAGAACTGACGTTGGTTAGACTCTTGGTGAGCGAAGCACAGGCTCGGAGTGCCGGTGCCGGTGAACCGAGCACTTGGATACGCAGGCTCTGGACCTTCGACCCTTCCTAAGGGGCAGGCTTGGCGGAAGGAGGGTCAACAGCTGGTGTGTGTGGTAAAGAGCTTCCAGACCTTTCTGAGGAAACTGCCTGGTCTTCAGGAGTGGCTCTGCCAGCTGCCACCCAGAAGCAGGAGGCCATGGACTGAGGGACTTCCTGGGCGTTCAGATCCCTGCCCAGTTGCCTCTGAGTACCACTGCTTTCAAGGACTGATTTTGATAAAAATCATTTTAGGAACTTCTGGAAGGGACGAATTGCATAAAATATTATGCCCTACGTCATCGAATCCTAAAAGCCACAGGATGGTAAAATTCACTCTTATTTTACGTACCACTGAAATAAAAACAGGTGGACGATGGGAGGACACTATTGAATGGGAGGGGTTGAGCCGTGGAAACACCTGTGGGTGAGTGTGTGGTGCTTCTGTGGCCGTGGCTGCCACAGCTGCAGTGGGAACCGGCTGTCGCCCTCAGGGCCAGCGGAGCCGTGGGTGGCGTTGGCGGGTCTGGCGCACAGATCTGATCTCCTTTGTTGGTTCTGTTGTCCTGTTATTGAAAAAGGACGGTTAGTGATTTTAGCTTTCCCTTTTGTTTCCACTGCATTCACTGCACAGAACCTCTTTGCTGCTGGTGGCCGGTAAGAAGCGTGAGTGTGCGGTGCTAGTTTTAGGATGCATCATGCTAAGTCCAGTTTTCAGGCTCCTGACTCAGGACACAGATTGTCCCCCAGCCCCGCCCCCTCCCTCCCTCTCTATGTCTTTGCAGAGGTGAAGTTTCACAGTGAGTAATCCGTGGGGTTCATGAGTCCTTTAAAATGCTGTTGTGGGAGTGGACAGTTCGCCTTGCGCTGTAGTGATTTGCCTTCTCCACGTTGACTTGCAGGAAGGGGCCGGGCGTCCAGTCTGCTGCCCCCCGTGCCCCTCTGCGGCAGCAGGCCCCGGGCGACGGGCACCGTGGGAGGCCCTCCCCTCGCTGCCCCGTGCTGCTGGACAGGTGAGGCGGCGCCTCCGTGCTCGGGAGGCTGCCGGGATGGTGGCGAGAGAGCCACAGGCTGCGCACGCCCGGCGCTATTCTGAGCGCTCTAACAATAGATCCGTGGAGGAGGAATGTACAATCGGCAGAGTTCGATGTGAGTCATCGGCCTGTCACCGTCGTTATTAGACTAGCTTTATGAAGCTGAACTTCTAAAAGTGATACGTCGATTTAATTTTCCTTTTAAGAAAATGGCCTTTAAAATGATTCACTTTCCCGCTGATATAAACCCTTGAAAAAGGAGAGAGAAGTTTAGAGTGTCTCCCTCTAAACGTCCGGGAGGCCTCCGAATTTCGTAGCCTTCAGCGTTTGAGGGGCCCGCTGTGCTGTGGCAGAATTCTGTCCTGTGCCCTCAGCAGCGAGAGCTGTGGGATCTTTTTTAAAAATTGCAATTTGAAATCGATGCTGAGAGGCCTGTGGATTCATGCTGTTCTGAGGTTTACGGAGTGAGCGCCAGCTACGTGCTAAGTGAGGGCTTGGGATTGTCACAGACATTGTACAGTGGAGGGCGTGAGGCTCACAGAGTCTATGAATTGCAAAGTTCAGATGAAAAACGTAAGTTGCCTGATTTGAAGTTTTGGGCTGTTAGTACTATTATCACAACTAGCTCAGTGAACAGGGTACATGCTTTTAGTGTGTTTTTAAAAAGAAATGAAAAGCCAAAAAAAAAAAAGGCACTGAGGACATCCATTTAAGCTTCAGAGCCTGCACTCCGGGAATAGAACCTGTCACACAATAACCTGATGTAAGAACAGAGCAAATATTCCCTGTTACTCACCTTTTCTGTGAGGACCTACCTCACTTTCCCAGTGTTACCAGCATTTCAGGAGGGGTTATTTCCCTATGAAATGTTTGGAAACCTGACTTTCATCATGGTTTAAGTATTTAAAATAGTTAGACTCACGATTAGAGAGTAGGGGCCGGCCCTTTTAGATTGGCCAGAGGGCTTTGTTCCCTCCGATCCCCTATCCCAAGATGACCCCCGGCCCCCAGTACAGTCTCTGTAGCTTCCTCTCCTGCTCCCTTTGCCGAAGGTCACAAAGGTCACAGGCAGTGCTTTCTGGGCACCTCCAGATTCTTACAGGGTTTGTAGAATCCTAAGGTCATAGAAACACAGTGAATATTGGGGACCCATCTCAGCGTCATATTTATAGGGCATGTAAATGAGAAAGAAAAGGGTGCTTGAGGAAACCTTAGGGGGCTCGGTGTTTCCTTGAAGCCCAGAGGAACAGCCACAAGCTGAGGGCGTTGAGGGGGCGGGGGAGCTGGGGCTGCACCTGAGCAGCAGAGCGCAGGTGGAAGTGCGTTGATATTTCCTATTCCACGTAGGGTGTTTTTCTCTTTTTGTTTGAGGAGTGGGGATGCTGCCTTTTTATTTTTTTATTGATAGCTGAGCATGCATTGTCTCCTCTCTTATTCCCGCCTGCCTCTCCATTTAATGGCACTTCCACTGGGAAGGTAGTGAAATCCTGCTGTTGGATCGTGTGGGAATGTGATTAAAAGGCCCAGGAGGTTAGCGCCTCATGTCTGGGTCTCGGTGTGGGGGTGTGTCCTGAGAATTGTACCAACCTGAGCACATCCAAGGGGAACACACTGAAGGTGAGGGGTGGTGGCCTTGTGTGCAGGAAGGGCCTGTCACCGCCTTCCCCGTGGAGGTGAACGGCCTGGTGTCGGGCGCTGCAGCCGCCTCTCTGATCTCCGCCCTCTCTCAGCTTGCCTTCAGAAATCTTGCTGAAGATCCTGTCCTACCTGGACGCGGCGACCCTGCTGTGCATGGGATGTGTGAACAGGCGCTTTTACCACCTGGCCAATGACAAGTAAGGAGAAAGCCAGCGTCTCTGTCGTGCCTTGATGGTGGTCCTGAGAACTAGTAAGGCCTTTTAAACTGGTTTTTAAAATTTAAAAGAATTAATTTCAAGAGTATTTTTAGACATGCTATTTCTGATACTTTAAGTACTTGTATGATACTTTCAAAGATTTGCATCTCTGTGTTTAAGGAAGGGATTATTCTTTGAATGAACTGAAAAGGCTCATACTTGATATGGCTGTTGGAGCAGGTGGCTTCCGGCGTGCTGGCCAGGAGGACATGCTGTGTCCCGAGAGGCAGACAGACTTCCCACAGGCTCAGCACGGGCTGGCCCTGCCTGGGTTTGCAGGGTGGGGGGCGTGTGCTCTGTTGGCAGCAAGCAGATCCTGAAGAAGGGCGAGGGAGGGGCTCTGTGAGGTGTGTTTGTCAACCTCGGAACCCTGCTCGGTGCCTAAGCGTGAAGGAGGGTGGGAGAGAAGCCGAGAGGGAGCTCCCATGGAGGTTTGCCCTGGAGGCAGGAAGCAGAGGGAGGTGACGAGGGTCACCAGCTCACCTGGGCTAGTGGGGTGGCTGTGAGAAAAGGAAACCCTCCTCTGCCTTGTTGTTCTGATCTTGTCTGCAACTCAGAGTTTTATCTTGGGGGCGAGCTGGTGGATTCTCTGAGCTTCTGGTGAGGATTTTGTGGCCTGCAGCTGGGCATCTTGGTTCATAGGTCTCTGTGTCCTTCATCATCAAGAGGTCAGACAGGTACTGATCCCACGTGGAACCCGAAGGTCAGACAGGTTCTGATCCCACGTGGAACCCGAAGGTCAGACAGGTACTGATCCCACGTGGAACCCGAAGGTCAGACAGGTAGTGATCCCACGTGGAACCCATGGATCACCTGGGAAAGACCAGAATGGAGATGCAGATCTTACTGGTGGTTTAGTAGACAGGGGATGGGCACCGGCAGAGGGAGGGCCCTGATACGCAGAATCTGGTGCTGTGGCTTTTGGATGCCAGTCCACAGAACAGTTGCTCTGGAACCTGCTGGGCAAGTTCACCATACGTGGACACCCCGCCTGCATTCCTGGAGATTTTGCTTCTCTGCTCTGGAATTTGTACTTTAATTTTTTTAAATGCCACCCCTCCAACAAATAAATAAATAAATGCTCCCAACAAGGGCAGTTTTGCAGCTTATTTTATTTATTTTAAAATTATTTTTATATATATTTTTTATTGATTTCAGAGAGAGGGAGAGAAATAGAAACATCAATGATGAGAGAGAGTTATTGATCAGCTGCCTCCTGCACGCCCCCTATTGGGGATCGAGCCTGCAACCTTGGCATGTGCCCTGACCGGGAATCGAACCTCTATTTCCTGGATCATAGGCTAATGCTCAACCACTGAGCCACACCAGCTGGGTGGGAATCTGCACTTTAAAAATCTGTCCCAGTCACACTAACAGTCAAGTTCTCACAGTCAGAAGGGGACATTAACCATTCTCTGGTTGGGAAGGGTGGCTTTTCTTGTCTTTTAATTTAAAAAGACATTTTCTATATGGGGGAATATACGTCTATCAGTCCATTTATGTCAACGAACACATACATCAAGTGACGTCATGTTCTTAACAGTAGGCCTGGGATGAATGTAGACCAACCCGTGTGTGTCTCTTCCTCAATGACCCCTAGTAAGAGACTGGAGTGTTCGTAGAGCAATGTGCAGTCAGGGCGTTTTCAAGAAAGGGCCAACTAGATGCCCTGAACTGTAGCTTTGGGGAGGGTTCTTACTTTATTTCAGGCTAGAACTTGGATTACTCAGGTAAGCTGATAAATGATAAGTTCTTGGTTTCTTTAACTATCCCCTCTCCCCAGCTACCTTCACGGCCCATATGGTGCAGGCACGGGGCTTCTCGGGGATTTGGGGCCGCAGCTCTGGTAACATTCTTGGTCTTTTATTGTCAATTACGTGTCCTTCCCACTTTCTTGGAAGCTGTCTTTTAAAAATCTGAGCTTCTGATGAAATTACTGTCATGTGTTTTTTTCTTTCAAAGGATAATCTTAATTGAATATGTTGAATTGCATTTATAAGCGTCATGGTCAGTCTTCATTAAAAGGATGAGTTAATACTCGGATAGGTAGACAACAAATGTTTTTGGGAAGTTAAGGGCATTTTCTAAGCATTGCTTCTAAAGAGAGGACAGGAGCACATACTGTAGCCAGTTACACTGGTGACTCCTGGGGGACACACTGGAAGGGGGGCCTCCCTGAGGCCCATCACGTTGGCGGGGCTGTCTCCCAGCTGCGCGATCCAGCCCTCAGCCTGAGCGCTGGTCCCGAATGGGTCCCTGTGTGGGTCCCTGAAGTGTGGACCTGGCTGCCTCTGCCTCATCGCGCGGGTTTTGTTTTCCAGTGCTCTGCGAAACACTGTTGATCGGAACGTTCAGTTGGCCCCATCTTCTGAACAAGTTGTTTGAAGTTTTCTGTGCCTGATTGGTGGTCAGATTAGAATAAACAGCTCTTATCCTCAAACTGGCCAGAGTATTTTAACAGGATGGAGCATTGGTGACCAGAGGTGCATGGGTGGGTTTCAGCGACTGATAAAAGCATCTTAAACTTGACACTTGTACTTTGTAAATAACCACGGGGAGCAGCCTACACGATCCGTTAGCCCTGGAAGATGTCTTTATTCTCTCCGGCTCCTCTGATGGTAGATGGAGTAAGGGGCCTCGTGACGGGTCCATCGCACGGCGTCAGGCGTACTCGTCGCTGGAGGTGTGAGGGTCCACGCTCTCCTCTCCTCTCCTCTCCTCTCCTCTCCTCTCCTCTCCTCTCCTCTCC